GTCCCTTCAAGTCCGTTTTGCTTGAACAAAGCAAATTAATGTGGAAGAAAACCAGCTGTAATTCAAGGACATGGTCAAACGCTCAGCTTTTATGCAGGATGCTACAGCCTGGCTTCCAGTTTCCTCTGTGTACCAACTGCGCCTTTTGCCTAAGTACAGTTTTAAACCGCTGTGTAGAAAAGTTCACCCAATGGGTAAGAACCAAAGCAACTGGGCTTCTAGGAATCCTTATTACACAGAAAACAATAATAATAATAAAAAGAAACCATAGCCATAATGATATGTGGAAGAATCCAATAAAGGGAGGACTATACCAAAGAAAAGGTGGGGGAAATATCATGGAAAGGATGGGCATATGCTGGCTTGAGGATTCTGGGAATTGTAGTCCAATTTCACCAAGCTTTGCAGCAGAAAGAATTAACATGGCTGTGGAAGGAATACCTGTGCTCAGTCCAAATCTGACTTAAAGATAAGAAACCATAAAGGGTGAAACCAATAACCTTAATGTTGCTCATCCGTAGTTAGCTGAATTTGGTTGGCTTATGGGTGATACAGATCACTCTGCTCAACCCGTGTTCCCCACATGTGGGAGATGGGTTGGACTTCTATTGAATGAATTGTCAAAATTTCTAAATATTCATCTCTATGTAGAAATAAGTACAATGCAATTTTCTTTAAGTCAGTGTTCTCTCTCTCTCTCTCTCTCTCGTGGTCCCTAAGTGGTCATCTTGTATGGAGAACATGTGGCCTTCCAGAGGTTATTGAACATCATCTTCCGTTCTCCCTCTCTCTGACTGATGCTGTCTAGGGCTGGTAAGAGTAGCAGTCCAGCAGTATCTAAAGGCCACACTTACTTCATTCACTCATATATGGGAAAGGTAGTACTCTTAAGAAGTAGGGTGATTATTCAAAGTCAAGGATGACTACGATGTGACAGTGGTCAAGAAACGAACTCCTTCCAATCACTTACTATTGGCATTGCTTGTTAGATTGGACTAATATTGCAAGGTGCATCACTTGATATAAATCTCATTTTTCCCCCTCTCACAATCAACTTTGGCATTCCAACTTTCTGCTTATTTCCCCCCCCCCCGCCGGATAATAAACTTTCCCAGGAAAGTCCTTTTTATATATAAAAGCAGCAACCACGACTCCCCACCACCTCTCCTCAGGACCACCCTTTAAACTTTTCTTGCATTTAAAATGGGCTCCAAGAGATGATATAATTTGTGTGTGTGTGTGTGCGCACTGTGAACAGCTCCGAAAACATCAAACGTTTGGATAACGGGTCGCTGTATATTTTGTAATGCATTCCTATTGAATTTCCATTTTGTTCCTCTATTTAAAGAGCAGTATTATTATGCTCCATTTCCTGCTAGCGACTTCTATTTGTCTGCACAACAGGGAGGCAGGACACTTTTAGGTCCAAAAGAAATTATCTCTCAGTAAATTGCTCCTAACTCCATTACGGAATACTAAATGCTCTCTATCCCCCTTGTTTGCTGTCCCTGAACGGTGCTGAGAGATAACATTGCAATTTATTTATTTGGTTTGTCATCTCTGCCTAGGTGACACTGTTGGGGCCCATTTGAGCGGGAGACAAAAGTGATAAACCAACAGCTGCATTAGAGGGGCCACGGAGAGTAAAGTTTACTTTGATTATGTAGTAAGTGTCAAAATGTACAGTAGCCTGTGTCAGTTTGATGCCTCTCCCGGCGTATAATGGCTCCTCTTTTTCATGGTCGATTGGATGCTAATTCTTGTCTAATAAGGGAGCGATCACTCGAAAGTGACTTCCGAAGCAGCCAGAGTTCTTTATCCACCCCAAAGGGAAGCCATTCGTGAAATTATTTTAAAATTTGTTTAGATTGCTTGTTGTATTTATTTCCCCTCTCCTTAAAGCTGCCATTTTTCAAAGTGGGCGCTTTCTCTTTTCTTATGGTTCTGCAGTATTTTAGTGGTGGTTTCCATATTAAAAGAGTCTTCTGGTGGATAGAGGTGCTTTCTATAGGTGATACTTCATACTGGTTTGGGCAGGACATTCAATATACCTCTCCACTAAGCAGAACCATATAATAAAAATAAAAATAGTTGAAGTAAAACGACAACGACAACATGTTCTCCAAAAATCTGTCTTTTAGTCATCCATATTACAAAAGCAACAATGTTTTTATTAAATAGAGTTTTAAATACCCGTATTTTTCGCTCCATAAGACGCACCTTTCCATAAGACGCACCAATTTTTTAGGAGAAGAAAACAGAAAAATATAATCTGTTTTCTTCGCTCCATAAGATACACAGACTTTCCACCCCCCGTTTTGTGGGGGGAAAGTGCGTCTTATGGTGCGAAAAATACGGTAAATCTCTCAGCAAAATGAATTTGGATTTGGATTAGCAACTGTCCACATTGATGGCCTCTTGGGTGACATGGATTGGAATGGGGTAGTTATTTACTCGACTTTGGATCAAGAGTGAAGCTGAACACAACTCTTTTTTTTAAAAGACAGTGAGATTTCATGTAAATTGACTTTTCAAGTGGATTCCATTGGGTTGGACACAACCCTTGGAGTATTTACTGTAAATCCTGCCTACTAACCAGTATTGTTGAGGGAGAATTCACATCCTTTGAGAAAGGGAATAGATATTGGGTGCAAGACATGTTTTTCATGTATATGCTCAGGACTTTGACCCCCAGCATCTCCAGGAAGAGCTGCAATGGGTTAATTTATTAGACCAGTGGTTTCCAACCTTAGATTCTCAAATATTCTTGGACTACAACTCCAGAAATCCTGGCCAGTACAGCTAGTGGTGAAGGCTTCTGGGAGTTTTAGTCCAAGAACATTTGGGGACCTAAGGTTGGGAACCACTGTGAGGAATCGTTCTCAACCCTTAGGTGTCTAAATGTTGTTGGTACATACGTGATTTCCAGAATCCCTCTTCTTTGGGCATGTTAGCTGGAGCTTCTGGGAGTTGAGGTCCAAAGACATATTGGCAGTCAAGGTAGGAAACTACTTTAGTAGATAATGGCTGAAACCTTTTTTGCTCAATGTTGTAAATCACAACTAGAGTAGGCCGACTGAATCGGCGAGGATTTGTTGAGTCAATTCATAGATTAAATCCATTCAATAGACTTGGAATGCTAAGAAGCAGGATTTCAGACAGTATTGAAGAGGATGGACCAACAGTTTGATTCAGTGTGTGTTTGCTTCCTAGGCTCCTAAGAGTAAAGAGGGTGTAGAAAATACACACGTTTGTCCTAAATTTTCAGAGGTTCTAGGGTTGCTGGCTGAATCTCTGGGTCGTAAGAGATCTATAAAGAAATGGTAAAGGTATAGGTTCCCCTTGACAATATTTGTCCAGTCGTGTTCGACTCTAGGGGGCGGTGCTCATCCCCGTTTCCAAGTCATAGAGCCAGCGTTTTGTCCGAAGACAATCTTCCGTGGTCACATGGCCAGTGCGACTTAGACACGGAACGCTGTTACCTTCCCACCGAGGTGGTCCCTATTTATCTACTCGCTTTTGCATGCTTTCGAACCGCTAGGTTGGCGGGATCTGGGACAAGCGACGGGCGCTCACTCCGTCGTGTGGATTCGATCTTACGACTGCTTGGTCTTCTGACCCTGCAGCACAGGCTTCTGCGGTTTAGCCCGCAGCGATGACCTTGTCCCAAAAGGGTCTGCGGAAGAAGCCAGTCATTCCTCCTCTAGAGATCATATGGCTTCTTGTAGATTCTTGGGTTTTGCTACGGATCTCAGCGATTGCCACTGCTCTTCATGAGTGAGATAAGACTAGAAAAGAAGAAGCTTTCTGGACGAGAGCAAAATCACCTCTACCCTAATGTCCTGCAATCTGGAGTGATATTGGACAAGGGACCAAACAGAGCTTTAGAGTAACAGTCTTGCTGTTGTTTTCCAAGCATAACGATCTCTGAATAATAACTTGAATAAGTTACGGTTTAGGATGGCAACTCCCAGAAACTGCTGGCCACAAAGACTCAGACCTTTTGGGTCTTGCAGTACAAAATGTTAATGTTTCTCAAACATAAAAATTCCATAGAGCGTTTACAGCACAACCATTTATGTACAGTATTTATCTACCTCTTTGTTCGGTCTCCTCATTAAAAGATTGCTTAAACCCTTCCCGGAGATCTTCCAGTTTTCTAATTCAGGCAATATTTTCTCCTTTGGCTTTTCCTCTAGAGAGAGGGACACAGGAGAGGGTCTTCTCTGTCGCTGTTCCCAGACTTTGGAACTCCCTCCCACAGGAAGCCAGGATGGTCTTGACTGTCCTTCTGCAAGCAGGCAAAGACTTTTCTCTTCAGGCAGGCTTTTCTTAGCGACTGACTATTTAGGAGACAATAAATGGGATGCTTTATATTTTGTTACTTTTAAATCTGTTTTTCGTAATGCTTTTACCTAACATTTTTAATATAATGCCATTAATTCTTCTTTAAAGCTTGAATGATTTTCTGTATCTAGCTTTTAATATTGTGCTTTTTAATGTTATAAACTGCGGGGTAAAATATTTTAACTAAATAAAGAACTAAATAGTTCCTTTAAACAATTTGTCTGCAAAGACAAATGAGCTTTTGTTTCTAAGGTGCCTCTTAAATGGCAAAATATTTGCAAATACTCCACTTCCTTGTTTCTTTGGTTTAAAGCAAGAGGAAGGGAAAAGTAAGAGAGAGACGGATCTTTGGCCATTTGCTAGACAATGGGTTTTACCTACTCTCAGCCACATTTTGAATCATGTTTTTATTTCCCAATCCTTGTTTATTCACCCTCTTCAGAGAACAAGAGTTGAATAACACCATCCATTCTTGTCTTCCTCCAGAAATATGAATCCTTGTGAGCCTAGAGATAAGATGCTGGATGGATCATCTTCTGTGAAACTAGAAAACTGAAATTATTTTGTTTAATTGTGTGTGAAAGTCAACTTTTGTCAAAAATCTCTCACTGTGACTAGATGCTTACAAAATGCAATATATTTCTCTTCTTTAGCGGATCATCACTGAAATACAATTTTACCAGCAGCCCTTTTTGAACCAGACGAAACTGTAATTCCAGCTGTCTCGAAGTTCTTCTGCTTTACTTCACAATCGTGGCTGCTCATTCCAAAGACTGCTATGGGGGGAGAGAGAGAAAGCGTGTCTTGTCAGCTCCATTTTTATCACCGATATCAAATCCATATCCCTAGTTCCCTAAAAGCCCTCCTTGTTAAAGCAGATTTTAAAAAATAATAAAAAATTAAAACATTTTTTAAAAATGAAGTTTTTCTTGCTTATATTCAGTATATCTTTCTAAGTGTAGATGGTTAGTCCATTACTGGAGAGATTTGCTCTTTTGATGTCTCCTTTCATTATACAGTATTGATTTCTTGCTTGCATTCTTACATGGGAGGAAGGACTGGATAAACCAGGAGCAGGGCTGAAACTATCCTACAGCTCTGCCCCAGAGTGCCAACATTTAAACAACACCAAAATCTAGAGGTGGATCTACTGGGAAGAGTTACAAAAATAAACGATGACACCTCTGGACCCTATTCACTTCTCCTTTCTTTTTCTTTTTTTTTGGAAGGAAATGTTCTTTTTCTTCAGGAAGGAACCACATTTTCTTCCACCTTTTTCTTGGAGGGAGATTTCACCCCCATGCTGCTGGGCAAAGTGGATGAGAGACAGTGGTACTGGCTGGAGCAGATTAAAACTACAGTCTCCTTTAGTATTGTTGTTATTGTTTAGTCGTTTAGTCATGTCCCTGGCAGTCTCTTATAAAGGAAGCAGGCCAAGGTTTCTGTACTGGAGAGTCTTTAGAAAATTATCAACTGTTCTTGTCCACCAGGCTCTTGAGAGTTGATAGCTACTTTTAAGTTGTTGAATCTGCTCTAAATTTCTGAATAAAATTGACATTTACAGTGTTCACATCAACCTTCACTATCTTGTAGTGCTTCTGAAACCTAAGTCATGCCCACATAAACATGTAATAAACTTTGCTTTCACTTCCAAATACACCAGCTGGCTATTTCAGTAGATCAGCCTTGGCCATATCTTAGCTGAAAAAGTCAAGAACATAACATTTTTATTAATGATGGATGCTTTACATAACTTAAGCAATGTATATGGTGTTGCTTCTTGTCTGTATTCAGTGTCCTCTTTCGATGCTCTTGCCCCACGGATAGTAAAGGCAGGGGTGTGTCTGCAGCTTACGAAATCAAGAGAAAGCGCTCCATGGCAAGTCTTTTATCTCCATCTGCATCTTGATCTTAGAGTCCCTTTTCCCCCCAATTACGGCACTCATTGTTTAAGAGATTGCAGACTTTTTTTTCTTTTAAAAAAGACTAAGTCTGAAGCACTAATCTGTTTTTTAAAAGGACTTAAGGGGCTCAAAACCTAAGCGACATACTTCTTACATTAATTTTCTTCCTCTGTACAGATTTGTGAGCTAGAACACTCTACTGGGCCTTTTCTTTTGTCTTTTCTTCAAACACCTGGCTTATTATTCACACATTCTCTCATTCTCCCCTCCTCCATCTCCCCCCCAACCCTCTCCCCAATCCCCTCCTTTAAAAAAAAGCAGGCAATGCTAACCATTTTAATTTGGAATTAAAATACATAGAAGACTTATGTCTGACTGGATAGCAAGAGATAACATGTATATTTTTAAATGTCTACTTAGAAAAAAATGTACACATGGTGGCTTAAAATTCTGAAATACTCTCTTTTCAAATTGGTTGGGATATTTATCCCTAAATACTTGATAGACTTTTGAACATTAATATCCATTTCTTTTCTAATTTTTTTCCTCTTTCCTCTTCCTTATAGTTGAATGCCATAGTTTCTGATCGGATTGCCAATGTATCTGTAAACCAGTTATCTCTCCAAATTCTTTTAGGTATAGTTTTACCATCTCCACAACTTTTAAAGGATTTTCTATTGTTATTATGGTATCGTCACTGAATAAACAAATCTTGGCTGTGTCTTTAATACCAATACCTAAAATCTCTTTATCTTCTTTAATAGCATTCAGTGATGGTTCTACAGCTAAAGGAAACAATACTGGGGACATCCATGGCTAGCACATCACCCAAGACACATTTATTCCATCATGGCTGTGTTATTCTCTGAATATAACTTATCTGTTATTCCTTTAAATCATTTAATAAACCTAATCCCTTAATTATTATTTTTAATGTTGGCCATAGCTCCGTGGCTTAGGTCTCTGGCTGTAGAGCCGGAGGTTGGGAATTTGTGTCCCCACTGGGCCTGAACTCAAGGATTTTCCAGTTCTGTGGTTCTAAGATGACGGTGTGTCCCCACTGGGCCTGAACTCAAGGAGCCATAGGGTTTCTTCCAGTTCTGTGGTTCTAAGATGACGGTGGGGATGACGATGACTCGAACAAGGGATGTTAAATGCTGGATCTATTCCTTATAGGACTGAGTTCCAAACATTTTGCCATCCTGTTTGCCTACCTTGGGACACATTCCAGCTTGCTGATATCCTTGCTGAGAGCTGGACACAGTATTCCAGTTGACACGCATGGCGTGGTGCTATTGGATCCCTTGATGCTAAACTTACGATGATGCAACCTCATATTGCGTTTGTTCTGTAGCAGTGGTGGTAGCTGTTGATTCATGTTTCGCTTGTTCGCTTACTAAGACCCTAGATCCCTTTCATGTGTACTACAAGCGAGCCAGCTGTCACTCGTCTAATGTTCATGCATCTACTTTTCTGTCCCAAAATTTATACCTTTGCCTCTTGAAACTTATTTAATCTGTTTTGGCTGACTTTTCCAGCCTGTTAAGGTAACACTGGGTTCCATCCTATCTCTTTAAATCTGGTGCCATCTGCCAGTTTGATGAGCATGCTATCCATGCCCTCAAACAAAGATAGTGAACAACGTAGGGCCCGAGATAGAACGCTTGTCATTTCTCTCCAGGATAAGGAACCTCTCTGGATACAGCTCATGAACCTGCTAGGAATTCTCCTAGATGTAGCACCGTCTAGTGCACATTTTATCAACTTCACTGTAACAATATCATGCCGATCCTTGTCAAAAGCCTTGCTGAAATCAAGATACATTATATTCACAGCATTTTCCTTATCTACCAAGCCTGTGCCTCTATCAAAAAGAAGAGATGCAAGTTGTAAGAAACCAATATTGGGTTCTGAATTCAAAGCAAAATTCCCAAGTGCTCACAGACTCATCTGTTCTAAAAACTTTCCTGGCACCAGGGTTCAAGCTGATTGGTCGGTAATTGCCCAGACCTGCTCCCCCCTCCCTTTTCAAGGTGGGATGAAGTTTGTTCTTCCCCAGTCTTCAGAGACTTTACCTGTTTTCCAAGAATTTTCAAGGCTTTAAAGAGAGAAGCTCTTGACTTTCCCTTGGCACGTTCCTTTAACGTTGGCGGATGGAGCTCATCTGGCCCATGGGGCTTGCATTCATGATCTGCATGTGGCTGATTCTGGTTAGAGCAGTTTGGTACCACCAAAACCGTCGTGGCTCTGGCCTATGGTGTTCTAGGATCTGTAATTTGGTAGCGGACTTAGAGCTTTTTTGCTATAAGGTGAGCACACTAGAGCTTGCTAGGAGAGCATTTTAAAGCTCACCAATCCCCAAGAATGGGAGGACAAGTACATGGGTTGACGTTACCTTTTTTTGCCATGTGACGATTATGCTACAGTTTTTCATGTAGCTCAAGCAACATTGCAAAGTACAAAATACAACAATGCAAAACTTTGTGAATGTGCTATGTCCATATTTTCTTCCTTCCTCTGTTTTGCTCTAAGTTCTTCCATTTCAAATGCTGTCAAGAAAGCTGTCAAGAAAGCTAGGGACGTGGTGGCGCTGTGGGCTAAACCGCAGAAGCCTGTGCTGCAGGGGCAGAAGACCAAGCAGTCGTAAGATCGAATCCACGCGACGGAGTGAGCGCCCGTCGCTTGTCCCAGCTCCCACCAACCTAGCGGTTCAAAAGCATGTAAATGCGAGTAGATAAATAGGGACCATCTCGGTGGGAAGGTAACAGCGTTCCGTGTCTAAGTCGCACTGGCCACGTGACCACGGAAGATTGTCTTCGGACAAAACGCTGGCTCTATGGCTTGGAAACAGGGATGAGCACCGCCCCCTAGAGTCGAACACGACTGGACAAAAATTGTCAAGGGGAACCTTTACCTTTACAAGAAAGCTTAAGGACTGCCCTCGTTAATCATACCTTCCCACCATTTGATGTGAGGTGGGTGGATATACTGTTGGAGTTTTATTTGCCACTTCACATGCTGTCTGTGGTTTCCAAGAAAGCCTAAGGACTGCCCTCATTAATCATCCCTCCTGACCATTTGATGTGAGGTGGGTGGGTATACTGTTGGAGTTTTATTTGCCACTTGTGACCAGGAGGAATTTTTCTGGGCTGGGGTGATTGTCCGTCTACCCAAATTGACCAATCATTCCTTTGAGCCTTTGAATTCAAAGAGAGCCTGCTTCTCTGCTGAGTGCCCCTTTCCCTCTCTTTCTTTGTCTGGACTGGGATGATTGTCCGTCTACCCGACATTAACCAATCATTCCTTTGAGCCTTTGATTTCAAAGAGAGCCTGCTTCTCAGCTGAGTGCCCCTTTCCCTCTCTTTCTTTGTTGGAAGCAATTGCTTTGTTGTTGTTGATCCGTTCTGTTGCTTGCTAAGTATGTGTGCCGTGAAGAAAGCAGTGTAATTTCAAGTAACAATAAGTAATGAAATGTTTGTTTTTTGTTTCCCCTACAAATGCCCCAGAGTGAGCTGCTGAGACCTGAAGTGCCATTTCATGCTTTGTTGTTGTTGATCTGTTCTGTTGCTTGCTAAGTATGTGTGCCGTGAAGAAAGCAGTGTAATTTCAAGTAACAATAAGTAATGAAATGTTTGTTTTTTGTTTCCCCTACAAATGCCCCAGAGTGAGCTGCTGAGACCTGAAGTGCCATTTCATGAGAAAGGTGTTGTAATTTCAAGCAACAGTAAGTAATGAAATGTTTTCATTGTTTCCCCTACAAATGCCGCAGAGTGAGCTGCTGACACCTGAAGTGCCATTTCATGAGAAAGGTGTGGATTGTGGTGAAGTTGTAGCTCTTTTTTTCCTTTAGCCCACCCTCTTCATCCCTGGTTTTACCCTTCTCCTATGCACAAACAAGTCTGAAAATGGAAAGCTCTACTCCTTGTGGG